CGAATTCCTCCATCCTTCTTTTTAAGTGCACAAAGTGTTGCACCAAAAAAGAAAGGTTTTAATTTCATCAGGGATCAGACAGCCAAGGAACTGTTGACGAACCTTGTGATTCTGAAAGCAGTGTCTCTGAAATTTTCCCCCCAATAATGGATTAACCTTTCCTTTAATGCTGGGGCCCTTATTCCAGTGTAACCCCCAGCAGAGCCAGATGGGAACGACATTATTGCTTTGAAAAATGTCTGAGTCTTCCACTATCAATGGTTCCATAGTGGGGACAGAGGTGTTGGACCTGTTGGTGCCACTGGTTTCCCTGGCAAGGTGTTTTTCCTCTAAGTGCTTCAGCCGTGTCAGCATCCCTGGGAGCAACTGTATTTTTCACTGGTAATAATTCTTATTGCCCCAACTGTGTTGCCTCTTCAATTTTCTTTCCCTCACTGGATCTGACTTTTTCACTGTCAGTAGAGGGGGGGGTTCTCCCTTTCCCCCTTTTTTGTGTTGACGGGGAAGGCGAATGGGTTATCAACTCTAGGAAAAATTTCTTAAGGATATAAAATATTATATATATATTTTATATATTTTATATATATTTATATTTTATATATATATATATATTTATATTATGCAAAACAACCACTCTGAATAGAATAGGGGAATTTGGGAGGATTTAATATACACTGGAAATAATAATTTTAAATTTTCTTGGGTAGAATTAGTTTGTGGGTGAGTTGTGCAAAGGACCTATCCAAGTTGGGTCGGCGCGCGTCAGGTGTTTAACCGTTGTGGGATTGTAGTGAGGTGCTGGCAGACCCCTTATTAGCTTCCTTGGATTGCTTTACTTTCATAGTTCCTTGATAATGTGAGTAGTCACGAAAGCGCTTGGAAAATTTTTCCCATTTTTCAGAGTGGTTGTTTTGCATATTCTGAAATCACTGGTTTACTGTGATCTTATTGCATATATATATATATATATATTATATTATATATTTTATATTATATATATATTATTTATATAAAAATATTTTATTTATATATATATTTATATATTATATTATATATTTTTATTTTTTAATATATATATATATTACCCAGGTAGTAGTTGGTAGACAGCAACCCCCCAGGGAGGTACTACCGTCCTGCCAAGTGAGTGTAAAACGTAAGCCTGTAATTGTTTTACACGGTTGGTAGGATTGCTGGTGTTTTTTCTGTCTCATAAACATGCAAGGTTTCAGGGACGTCTTGCTACTTCTGCTTACACTTAGGTCACACCCACCATACTGTACAAGCATATGTATACACACCCCTCTGGGTTTTCTTCTATTTTCTTACTAGCTCTTGTTCTTGTTTATTTCCTCTTATCTCCCTGGGGAAGTGGAACAGAATTCTTCCTCCGTAAGCTATGCGTGTTTGTAAGAGGCGACTAAAATGCCAGGAGCAAGGGGCTAGTAACCCTTCTCCTGTATATATTACTAAATATGAAAGGAGAAACTTTTGTTTTTCCTTTTGGGCCACCCCACCTCGGTGGGATACGGCTGGTGTGTTGAAAGAAAGAATATATATATATAATGTATATATATATATATATATATATATATATATTATATATAATATATATTATATATATATATATATATATATTATATTATATAACAGTTCGCAGACGGGCGAGTGGCTGAGAACTTCCCCACTCGCTGGAATTTCATTAATTTTTCTGAGTGGTTGTTTTGCCTATTTTGATATCACTTTGTTTACTTTTGATCTTGTTGCAAAGTTAACTTTCTAAAGTCACTGAGAAAGTTTATTACGTGTTCATATTACAAGATGTTTTTATATTCAATTTTGAAATGATGGGCTGTTAAGTCATAAAACACGTGTCCTGTTTCCTAACACTCTTACCTAACCTAACCTACATGTGTACGAAGCTTCATGTACCTCAGTATAATGGCACCTGTTTTGTTGGTATTTCTTACGACGGTGATGGTACCTACCTCGATATGTTCACCAGGATAACCTACTGTAGAGGACCTGACTTGTGGAGAGTCTGACTGGAAACACTGGAAGGTCACTGGACTCGTTTCTGTCATTCCATACACCAACTGTTGAGAAACTATGTATGAGACTGGAGTCAAACATAGGGTACAGAAGAAGCTTTTAATGTGAAAATGTGCAGCTCTATGTAGAGCGTTATCTTGACCACAATTTACACATGTAATTTACACATGTTACCATGTATGATAATTTTACTCTTGTGAACCCGTACCTACTTACTTATTCATTAAGTTGTGCACAAAGCTGAATGTTTCAATAAAAGTTTCTTCTGGCTGGAACAATTCACCAATACCCAAACTTGGAAGATGAAACTTAACGTGAGGTTTCGGTCCATTCTGGACCATTATCAAGTTACAAGTTACAACTTGGAGAAATTTAAAGAAAACCATAATTTCACCATGTATCCATCACTGGATAGGCAGAGGCCCTTAACTTATTATAACATGCGAGTAATTGCTAGATTAATTATCGTCACCTCCCTATCATTTCGTTATATTATCAACTTGTTGCTTTGTTAAAGGGTTTTGTAATATATATATTATATAAATATATATTATATATTTTATATATATATATATATATGCAAGGAATTCGCGGAGAGCATGCGAATTATATATAATATATTATATATATATATATATTTTATATATATATTTTATATATATATATATATATATATATATTATATATTTTATTACCTGGAGTTTACCTGGAGTGAGTTCCGGGGGTCAACGCCCCCGCGGCCCGGTCTGTGACGGGCCCTTTCCTTAGGTCAGTGTCCCAGGATGGGGACCCACACCAGTCGACTAACACCCAGGTACCATTTTACTGATGGGGAACATAGACAACAGGGGGGAAAGAAACACGTCCAATTTTTTCTACTCTGGCTGGGAATCGAACCCAACCCCTCACCGTGTGAAGCAAGAGCGTTAACCCCAGGCCACCTTAATAAAATCATGAAACAAGTGATTCTGAATCATTAATAGAACTGCGACTTAGCCAGGACTCGATCCTGCATTCCTATGCCCAGCCTGTGAGAGCTGAATAAAGTACGCATCACTCTCTCTCCTCTTGAAAAATTAGTCTCTTTAAGCTCCATGACCACGTATGTCCTTGCACCCAGGAAAACACATCAGTACTGCTGAGTGTCTGGTGTTTAAAGGGCTGTTGGTCAAGTGAATAGAGTGATGCGTTACTTTGTTCAATTCTCACAGGGCAGGCCATGGGAACGCAGGATCGAGTTCTGGTCAAGCCACAGTTCTGTTAGTGACTGACTGTGTGTGTGTGTGTGTATGTGTGTGTGTGTGTGTGTGTGTGTGTGTGTGTGTGTGTGTGTGTTGTGTGTGGGTGTGTGTGTGTTTTTGTGTGTGTGTGTTGTGTGTGTGTGTGTTGTATGTATTATATATTTTAACAACACTGCCTAGCCAGGAGTCGAAAACCCCTGCTGTTTTGGCCCGCCTCATGGTGAGAGAAAACACATGGCGCTATAGACCACTAGACCAAACAATCCTTAACAATGGTACATCCAGCAAAGGTAGATGTTGTACTCACCATGGAAGGACATACGGTGGTGTGGACGCCTCTGAGCTAATTTCATTCTACTCCCTGTTTGTGTACTGCTCAACAAGCAGTATATTATTACTGTACCCAGGGGAAAAGAGTGGTATTGATTAAAAAAACAACATTGCACTAGCCCCAAAGGGGTCGAACCCATGCTGTTTTGGCCCGCCTCATGGTGAGAGAAAACGCATGATGCTTTAGACCACTAGACCACAAGGGGTATTGAATCATTTACCAAACTGCAGCCAGCTGGGATTAGATCCTATAACACATTCTTCCGCCTCAAGAGACAGAACAATGGTCACATCGCCTTAACCACTCAATAAGCGATCCTACAAAGGTCTTGCACCCAGCAGAGCTTAGTGATGTTCATGATCCAAGGATCATGAACATCATAGGATCCACCATTTGTCACTCAGTCTCTGAGTATCTCCAGTGCCTGGAAACCTTTGAAACGGAGGGTTTCCACAGCAGCAAATTCTCTGAGAGGTTTGACTTGTCCTGACCAACCCCACAAGAGAGTTTTCAGTGATAACTCCATCATTGAGCATCTCAGTAATGAGTTCTTCAGTGAAGACTCTTTGCGTATGAGGCAAACGATAAGCAGGCACATAAGTGGCCTTAGTGCTTTTGTTCAGAGGAATACAGTGAGAAATAAATGGGGTTACTTATTATTATGATCAAATAAAGCACTAAACCGACAAGAGTCATGCAGCGCTGTGGGGCAGAAAACAGTGATGGGGCTATAACAACTAGGCGGATAGGGGATCAGAGGTTAGGGAAGAAAAGGTCTGGAAGGGACACTAGGGACTATGTGTCAAAGTTCGTATAGTACAGCAGTTGCTGACAAAAAGTAAAAAAGTGATCGTAAGCCAAAGGCTGGTCCGTCTGCAAGAAGGGAAGGCAGGTAAGAACAGTAGGGCGGCGGCGTCGGTGGAGGTAAATCCTGCGAGCTCGTTTGCAAACCGGACAATCCACATGAAAATGAAGACCTAAAATAGGGACCCGATAAACCTCACAGAGAGGGATAGGATGTCATTCCATGACATACCCATGTGTAAGGCGTGTATGGCCGACGCAGAGACGGGAGAGAGCAGTCTCCAGAGTACGGCAACAATGGTAAGATGGCCACAAACCCAAAAGCGGTTTAATAGAGTGCAATTTGTTATGGTGCATGTCTGACAACTGTTGTTGCCAACAGCCACAAAGACGGTTAGAGATGATTGTAAAATAATTCCCGAACGGATTACATCAATAGGAAACCTGAAGATCAAGCACTGCTGACCGTGCATCAGCATCAGCCTGTTCAATACCCCTCACATTAACGTGTCCAGGGACCCAATAGAACAAATGTCTTTGTTTTTGCTAGCTACATGGTGCAACCAAAGTTGAATACGATGGACCATTGGATGAGGAGAATCAAATTGTTTAATGGCCTGTAAAGCACTGAGGGAATCTGAAATGATCACAAACGCCAAAGGAGACATACATGTAACATGGAGAAGCACTATGAGGATGGCATACAACTTGGCGGTAAAAATACTAGCCGAGTCTATCAAATGACCTCGGACAACACCATCAGGGAACACCGCCGCAAACCCAACATCGTCTGAAGATTTAGAACCATCTGTATAAACAGCGATGACACGAGAATGCGACCAGAACTGATCAAGAAAACGACAGTGAGAACCAGCCATAGGCAAGAGAGCTTTGGTGCACAGCAGTAGGGGAGAAGAGACACGAACTGTCGGAGGAAGGGGAAAGGCAGACGCTATATGAACATAGAAGGGAGGCAACTGGAGAGAAGACTGGAGTGAAGACGAAGAGAAAACGAAGTAAGCAGGGGACGCCGATAAATAATGGGCTTCTACTATACGTAGAAGGAACCCGAAGGTCATGAGGGTGGACAAAGTAACGAAGGCAATGAGCATCACGATGATTGGCTAAGGAAGGAATGTTCGCTTCAGCATAGAGGTTCTCAACAGGGGATGAACGAAAGGCAGAAAGGCATGAACGTAGACCTTGTGATGAAGGGGATCTAACCTAGAAAGAGTTGCAGGGCAGAATGCAAACGGAGAAGAGTCCGGCGATCTGCTCCCCATGAATGATGAGCAAGAATTTTAAAGAGGATCATCCCACCATGGCAAGCTGCCTTCAAAGAGGAAATGTGAGATTTCCATGTAAACTGGAGATTGAACAGAAGGCCAAGAAACTTGACCCTATCACATTCCGGAATACGTGAGCTGTGTAAATACAATGGAATATCTGGGATAAGAAGACGTCTAGTGAAGGTAATGAAATGGGTTTTCGCACTAGAAAATTTCAATGCATGAGAAGTGGCTCAATGGGAAACATGGTCAATCGCATTCTGAAGGGAGGCCGCTACCAGACATCACTGCCTGCATAAGCTATAGTGAAGTCATCCACATGAAGCGACGACCAAATGTGCGATGGAAGAACAGAAGGTAGGTCATTGATAGCCAAGAGGAAAAGGGAAGTGCTAAGGACACAACTTTGTAGGACTCCCTCGATCTGAACAAAATCTGAGGAAAGCATGGCGCCAACACGGACACAAAAATGTCTTTCAGATAAGACAGAAGCAAGGAAGGTCGGTAGATTGCCCTGGAGACCTAATTAGTGGGCCTGGGCTAAGATGTTATACCTCCAAGTGGTGTCATATGCCTTCTCAAGATCAAAAGAAACTGCTAGGATGGAGTGTTTATTAGTAAAGGCATTTTGTACATACGTATCTAAGTGGAGCAAAGGGTTCAACATAGAGCGGCCCTTTCAAAAGCCTTATTGGTGAGAGGAAAGACTATTGAGAGCCTCCAAATACCATATCAAACGTTATTCATCAATCGTTCCATCACCTCGAAGACTACACTGGTCAGAGCAATGGGACGATAGTGAGAGGTATCAAGCCCCAAAGTGCCTGGTTTGCCAAACAGTAGTACAATGGCAGATTTCCATTGTTGAGGGAGAACCCCTCACGTCTAAACAAGATTGAAAAGACGCAAAGGGATTGTAAGGGGTGTAAATGCAGATGTTGTAGTATCAGATATGAATATCATCAGGCCACTGCCTATGCCCCAGCAAGCGGAAAGCGTGGGACTCGAGCTCTAAGAGAGTAAAGGTACGTTATATTCCTCCATCACTTTTAGAAGAGAAATCCAAGGGCAATTGCTCCCTGGCAGAACTAGAATCGAAAACAAGGGACAGGTGAACCCCTTTGGGAGACATGGACAAGATAGTTTCCCGATTTCCCCATGGGAACCTAAAGGGAGGTTCCACAACACCAGCAACCTGCAAAACGGGAGCAAAACACAACTTTCGTACCTTCTTCCAAACCCCACACAAGGGGTAGGAAATGTTGTCTTGTTAGCAGTGCATTTAGTGTCACATATGCTGGTGAGCGACTGCTCTTGCCCGCCTTAAAATCCAAAAGACGATCTGCAGTTCGATATCGATAACAGCCCCAAGCAGTACGTTTCAAACACACTGCACGAGCACACGCAGGAGACCACTAAGGCATACATGTCTGGAATGCCTGCTGAAGTTTGAGGTATTAGAACGTTGATGCTGCAGCCACAACTAATGTCGAAAACTGGTGCACCAGTCATCAACAGAGGACGAAGAAGGAGTCCCCACAAAAAGCGGTAAGATAAGAGTACAAGCCCCAAATTTCCCAACTCGTCCAAATTGCCAACGAGGGCTACAAGGCAGTCGGGAAAGCGATCACTGTCGTGCAAATCCGGGAGAAGACCAAACGTAATCAAGTGCGATTGACGAGAAGCAGATAGAAAGATCAATGCAAGAGAGAGAGACTGAGTGTGAGAGCCCAAAATGGAGGGAGGGCACCCGTTTTTAAATTACATGAAGAGGATGAGAAGTGAGAAATCTCTCCAACTGATCACTAAAGAGTTACAGTGGGACCCTCCCCAAAGATGATGGTGAGCGTTAAAATCACCTAACTAGATGGGCGGCGATTTTCGAGATACAGAATGCATGGGAAGGAGAGAGATATAGAGAGCAAACTGTAAACCACCTGTGCAAATACACACAGGCTGGAGTATAATGCAGCAGAGAACGAACAAAGACCTGTTGAAACGGTATACCAACACGCACAAGAAGTGCACTCTCATTAAAAGTTTCATCAAGAAAGGGATAAGAAACCATACCCCCGGCCGGGATTGAACCCGCGGTCATAGAGTCTCAAAACTCCAGCCTGTCGCACAGCCCGAAACGGGACGAATAACAGCTGAGCGAACTTTAGACTCTTGTACCCCAACTCATACTGGGGAAAACTTGGAAAGCAACACCTGGAGCTCTGCCCGATTACCATGAGGCCACGAATATTCCATTGTAAATAAGTCATTATGCCAACAATGGGAAGTGATAAAATCTACGGGCTAGTAGGATCAGTGAAGTCAATGTGTGGAGGCAACGGAAAGTGTGTAAGCAAGGAGGAATCAGAATGCTGTGACATAAAAGACTGATGAGGGGTCGGGGGAAAAATAAGATGGGGTTTGAAGGGTTGTGTTGGTGTTCATCAAGGGTTTCGTCTCACCAATATAGTCGAAGAGAGCGTCAAGTGTCTCAGTGGATAAGGAACCGCTGATACCATGACTTCAGAGACAAGTGAGGTAGTGCAAGTAGAGACAGGGGAGACTATGGAGGGAAAACCCAAAAAGGTCTGAGAGGGAAGGATATGAACCCGGAGAGATGTGGCCGGGGAGGGACAGAAGAGTCATGTGGTGGAACAGGAGAGGAAGGAGGCTGGAAAAGGACTGGGGAAGAAGTTGGGGGAAAAGAAGAGGGGACCCCATGAGGAGGGAACCCCACCTTGGTGAGAATTAGAAAGGGGGGTGATAACTAGGCACCAAGGCCCCTAAAAAATGTTGGGAATTGTAGCCACCAGAGGAATGCGAAGAGCATTCCTCTGGTGCTTACACCCGAGACGGGTTCAACTCGTAGGTGATAGGCGCGAAAAAAAGGTGCAGGTGTGCGAGGCCTGGCAGCGGGGAAATTGTGGATAGTTTGATGAAGTAGAGGTAGGAAGGGTAAGGGAGATTGCCAGTGAAATTTGTTAAGGAGCTCACCTTGCGTACTGAAGTACGTGACATGTTTTTAAGCCCAGGTGAGTGGGAACGTGCTTTGTAAGCTGACATTTGTGACAACCCGTCTATTACTCTACCTCTGCTGACGTGGACCAATGACTGTCTTCCGTCCTATCACATACGTTATCACGGACGGTCTGTGACCAGACAGCAGGTAGATAGTTCTGTGACATGATACACCTATTGACTTTTCCAAATTCCATCGCTGGCTACAGTGTCTTCTTGCGGAAATGGTCATAACGCTCATATGCTTTACGTTTGTTGAAAGCTCAATATCGGGTCAGGGTGGACTACACCATGTACACACACACGCCGTGGGGCCAGGAGCAATTTATATCACCCCTGAAACCATAATTAGGTGAGTACACTTTCACACAAAATAAGTGAGAAGTTGAACCGTCATCCAAAAATAATGGGGTTTTAAGAAATATGAGGGTGACTAATCAGAGGAGTAGATTTTGGCTACACAGTTTTGAACATTTCAAATGGGGGTCCCAAAAAAAATGATAGCAGTGATGTACAACCCCCCACCCAAAAGCAGGATGCCAAGACAAGACTATGATGAGAGTAACAGAGTGATGATGGACACACTTGCCGAGGTTGCCAGAAGGGCCCACATGAGCAGGGGGGATTTCAACTGGCATTACTAGAAAACTTCATGTACCAACATGTTAGGGACTCAGAAAGAGAGGAGATGATAAATCAGCATAGCTGAGCCTCGTATTCACTTTGAGCAGTTCAGACATAGGAGATATCACACGCCAAAGGCCCCTAGATGCTAGCGATCACGTGGTCATGAGTTTCGAATACGTTGTAGAATTAACAATGAATAGTGAAGCAGTGCGAGAAGGATGGGAGAAGCCAAACTTCTAAAAAGGGGACTACAAAAGTATGAGGCAATTCCTACACGAGGTGGAGTAAGTAAGCAAACTGCAGGTAAACAAAGTGCAGGAAGGCAGTGGAGAAGTTCATACCAAGGGGTAACAGAAGCGATATGTTAACCAGAGTGAAATCCCTGGGGTTTACCAGGTGTGGTGGAGAGGCCAATGCCAAGTATGCTAGAGTATGGAAAAAAGTATAGAAGGCAAAGGACCCAGAAAAAAAAAAACAGAGTTGAGCCGAAGATCCAGAAATGAATATGCATGAATAAGCAGAGAAACCCAGCATCAATACGAGAATGACTAAGCATCAAAAGTCAAATCTGATCCAAAGTTGTTACACAGATACATCAGGAGGAAAACAACAGTCAAGGACAAGGTAATCAAGCTGAGGAGGGAAGGTGGGGAGCTCACAGGGAGAAGCTTCCAGTAAACCAAAGTGGTAGGGTGCACCAGTAAGAGCTGGACACACTGCACACAGCTGAGGAGGAGGTGAAAAAAACTATTAGGGAAACTAGATACCTCGAAAGCCGTGGGCCCAGATAATCTCTCCTTGGGTCCTGAGAGAGGGAGTAGATGCACTGTGTGTGCTATTAACAATCGTCAATAAATATATCAAAACATGGCAGCTGCCTAAGGTGTGGAAGACAAATGTAGTCCCGATTTTTAAGAAAGGAGACAGATAGGCTGCACAAAATCACAGACCAGCGTCGCTGAGATCATCAGGAGAAGAGTGGTGGAGCACCTAGAAAAAACGGACTCACACATGACAACCAGCACGGATTCAGGGAAGGGAAATCCTGCATCACAAACCTTTTGGAGCTCTATGACAGGGTAACAGAAGACAGAACAGAGAGCGATGAGTAGACTGCATCTTCTTGGACTGTAAGAAAGCTTTCGATACAGTGCTACACAAGAGACTGGTTAAAAAGCTAGAGGAGCAGGCAGGAAAAGGAGGGAAAGTACTGCCATGGATCAGGGAATACGTAACAGGAAGTAAACTACGTGTGTTGGTACAGGACAAGGAGTCAGAGTGGGTGCATGTGTCGAGTGGGGTTCCACGAGGGTCAGTCCTAGGTTCGGTACTGTTTCTGTTTGAATGACATGATGGAATGTGATGTGGGTCAACTGTGCTTGAAATCACAGGTTGACCTAACCAACCAGTGTAAACTGTCACACCCATTGCCTTGGCAGGGAAGTGTCAGGAATGTAGGAAGACTCTTCGCACCGTAGGACTCATGGTTCGAGGTAAGAGGAAATAAACAAGAACAAGAACTAGTAAGAAAATAAAAGAAACCCAGAGGGGTGTGTGTATATATATGCTTGTACATGTACGTGTAGTGTGACCTAAGTGTAAGTAGAAGTAGCAAGATGTACCTGAAACCTTGCATGTTTATGAGACAGAAAAAAAGACACCAGCAATCCTACCATCATGTAAAACAATTACAGGCTTCAGTTTTACACTCACTTGGCAGAACGGTAGTACCTCCCTGGGCGGTTTGCTGTCTACCAACCTACTACCTAGTATATATATATATATAATATATATATATATATATATATATATATATATATATTATATATATATTATATATATAATATATATATATATATACTACAAAGAATGCTTCTGAAAGAAGCAAACATTTAAAATATAACAAAAATCGTTTACAAGTAAAGTTGTTACCGTAAGTCCCTTCATATTGAGTTCATTCATGACTGCCATGACTAGTTCCCGGGGACACGGAGCACCAGCCATGACTCCTGCTGACAAGGAGCTTACGTCTCTGGGCTTCCTGCGCTGAACATTCAGTATGTCGACGAACATCGTGGGTGTACCGTAGCAAGAAGACGCTCTGAAAATACAAGAAATAGTATACACGTAGGCAATACAGCGCCGGGGAAATGGATAGCAATCACGTTTCTATAACTATACCAATAAATGAAAAAGTTTAAGAAGTGTCAATCAAATGCTACTTGAACTGTCAATATGGAGGTATAATATCCCAGCCGCAGAGTATCAAGAGTAACTTTACCTCTCGTCTTGTATCACCTGAAGGCAAACCTCGGGATCAAAGGCTTCACTGGGGAGGACGCAGGTTGCTCCATACAGAGCGCCAGCTATAACTCCACCAACACAACCAAAACAATGGTACAGCGGCACTGGCAGACAAATGCGTACATGCTGAAGAAAAAAATGTTGTATTATAAATTAAGGGATAATTGGAGTTGTATATCTTACGACAGTGAAATGTATTTACACAGAGGCGTATATCTGTTATTCATGACTCAAGAAATCGTAATGACACGATTGCAAACAAACCATACCCCCGGCTGGGATTGAACCGACGGGCTGGAGTTTTGAGACTCTATGGACCGCGGGTTCAATCCCAGCCAGGGGTATGATCTGTTATTCACTTAGTGTATATACACTGAGGTGTACTCCTATTTGTGGTTGCTAGGGTCGAGTCATAGACTCTGGCCCTGCCTCTTCACTAATCGCTACTAGGTCCACTCTCTCCCTGCTCCATGAGCTTTACCAAATCTCGTCTCGTTCCTGTCTCCACTACGTCATCTGCCAGACTATTCCACTTCCTGACAACTCTATGACTAAAGAAATACTTCCTAACATCTCTTTGACTCATCTGAGTCTTCAGCTTCCAATTGTGGCCCCTTGTTTCTGTGTCCCATCTCTGAAACATCCTGTGTAAATAAGAGATAAGATTTCCTTCGAATTTTTAACCCCAGAGGGTTAGCCACCCAGGATAACCCAAGAAAGTCAGTACGTCATTGAGGACTGTCTAACTTATTTCCATTGGAGTCCTAAACCTTGTCCCCCAGGATGCGACCCACACCAGTCGACTAACACCCAGGTACCTATTTTCTGCTAGGTGAACAGGACAACAGGTGTAAGGAAACGCGTCGAAATGTTTCCACCCGCCGGGAATCGAACCCAGGCCCTCCGAGTGTGAAGCAGAAGCTTTAGCCACCAGGCCACCGAGCACAGAAGTATAAATACAGAGTTTACCACAATCACTGTTACATGGTAAAAACTTGCCGATAAATATGATTAATTAACACTGCAGTACTTATTATAAATAGAGATGATCTTCCGCTCTCTGTAGAGCTCAATCAACTCAGTGACTTGATAAAGCTCTACACAGAGCAGTACCTCGATCCTGTTTCAGAAATTAGTCATCACTGGATGAATGGAGACGATCTTCAACCTTAATGACTAAATCAGCATTGGAAACCTGACAAATCTAAACCAGTTCCCTCTGTATTGGGTTATATTATCTTTTTTATATAAAAGAGGTAGCACAACTAGCTCTATCGAGGCTCTATCCTCCGTTTTATTATAGACATAACACTACTCATACATACCAGCTTCTCTCCTACAGGCAAGTTAAAGAATACTATATTTTTCGACCTCATCCTAAGGCGACTGCTGAAGGCACCTAGGATGACACCAACATTATTGTCAGTGGGAAACATTAAACTCGTATGGATCATACAACTGGGGAATGAGAGGTAAACAAACCATACAACGGACGGGGATAGAACCCGCGATCAGAGAGTCTCAAAACTCCAGACCGTCGCGTTAGCCATTGGACCAACTAGCCACAATCGTGCCATTACGATTTCGTGAGTCATGAATGAGAGGTAATTAGGTTCGAACATACGAAGGAAGGGTAGCTACAATTCCTTAGATCAACAGCCATTCACTGACATCAAGGAGCCTCCTTATATATTATATAAATAACCCGAACTTAGGACTGAAACTTGTGACGATGTTTTGGTCTCACTTGGACTAATAACAAGTTACACAAAGATGTGAGAAGGGAAGGCAGCCAGTATACGAGAGGTGGGCAGGGAAGGCAGCCAGTATACGACAGGTGGGCAGGGAAGGCAGCCAGTATACGAGAGGTGGGCAGGGAAGGCAGCCAGTATACGACAGGTGGGCAGGGAAGGCAGCCAGTATACGAGAGGTGGGCAGGGAAGGCAGCCAGTATACGACAGGTGGGCAGGGAAGGCAGCCAGTGTACGAGAGGTGGGCAGGGAAGGCAGCCAGTATACGAGGAGGTGGGCAGGGAAGGCAGCCAGTATACGAGAGTGTGGGCAGGGAAGGCAGCCAGTATACGACAGGTGGGCAGGGAAGGCAGCCAGTATACGACAGGTGGGCAGGGAAGGCAGCCAGTATACGACAGGTGGGCAGGGAAGGCAGCCAATCACAGGTGGGCAGGGAAGGCGGGGTATACGAAGGTGGGCGGGGAAAGGGCAGCCAGTATACGAAGGGGGGCGGGGGAAGGCGCCAGTATCACAGGTGGGCGGGGAAAGGGCAGCCAGTATCGACAGGGGGCAGGGAAGGCAGCCAGTATCGAAAAAGTGGGCGGGGAAAAGGAGTGGTAGAAAAAAGAGAAACGGGAAAAGCGTATGGTAATGGTAGCATATAGCAAAGAAACAGTCGAAGAATTAATAGTAGAGATAGTATAAAAAACGAGTACAGAGAAGCCTTCAGGAGATCAGGGGCCAATGGGGACCCAAATTTATATTGTAGCTAAAATACACGATGGTAATCGTTTTAAAAAATGAAATCTGGAATAGGGAAACATGTAAATTCTGAAGCAAAAAATAAGAGAGGAAGCTTTTATAGGGACAGTTTCCTCTTTGTGGACTTTATCAAGCACAGAGAACGTTGTCCAATTAAAAGCTTTTTTTGCGACCAATTTTTATTTCTCCATTATAAATGGGAGTTCAGTATTTTGGGAAAAACTGTAAACTCAGCTACAAAACACTTTTCCTTTTTTCATAGTTGTCGCCTGCCCTTTCTTTAAACATTGTTATGACCTTTTTGGGTGAGGACGCAGCCTTGGGTAAACCCGTCGTACCTGAATAACATTAAAAATTACATCTCTTCCAATTTTAGTATCCCCGAAAGAAACTATTAAGGGCTACCAGAATTTTTTTCCCATTTTTTCTTCCTCCAACTTGTTTTCCTTTCACTCACAACTTAAATTATTATTATTATTATGATCAAAGAAAGCGCTAAACCGACAACGGTCATACAGCGCTGTGGGGCAGAAAACAGTACTGGAGAGACGATTAGAGGTGAAGGGAGAAAAGGGCTGGAAGGGACGCTAAGAGTTATGTGTCAAAGTTCGTACATTAAAACAGTGCAGCCATCTGCAGGAAGGGAAGATAAGGTACGAGTGGTAGGGCGTCGTCGTTGGATGTAAATCGTGCGAGCTTGCTGGTAAACCTGGCAATTGACAAGAAAGTGAAGAACCGAAATAGGGGCCCAACAAACCTCACAGAGAGGAATAGGTTGTTGTTCCATAAGATTCCCATGGGTAAGGCGAGTATGGTCAATGCGGAGACGGGAGAGCGCAGTCTCTCGAGTATGGCAACGGTGGTAAGAAATGACCACAAACCTAAAAGCAGTTTAATAGAGTACAATTTTACGGTGCATGCTCGACTATTACGGAGTACTGTAAAATTTTTTTATATAAAAATAACGCTCCATATATATAATTTTCCGTGTAGTATACTGAAAGTCGACGTGTATTATTCCCTGAAAGCTAACACGGCTGCGAAGACGAGCAGAGATGACTGGAAAATAATCTCTGAATGGAATACCTCCATAGGAAACCGGAAGCTCATGTACCGCTGACCGCGCAGCAGCATCCGCTTGTTTACTGCCCTCCACATCAACGTGTCCAGGGAACCAACAGAAAACAACGTTTCTGTTTTTGCTAGCCACACGGCACAACCATAGATGAATATGAAGGGCTAATGGATGAGGGGAATCAAATTGTTTATTGGCTTGTAAGGCACTGAGGGAATCTAAAATGATCACAAATGTCCAAGAAGACATAGTATGTAATACGGAGAAGCGCAATGAGGATGGCATACAACTCGGCAGTAAAAATACTAGCCAAGTCTAACAAATGACCTCGGACAACATCGTCAGGAACACTGCTGTGAACCGAACACTGTCAGAAGATTTAGAATCATCTGTATGAACAGAAACGGCATGAACATGCGATTGGAAGTGATCAAAGTATCCAAAACGGTTGGGATCCTCTCCAAGATACGATACTACGTACCGCAAACTGCCGTTCTCACCCTATACCATTCACTTATATATCCATACCTCACCTATGCTATCTGTGCTTGGGGTTCAACTGCAGCAACAAACCTAAAGCCAATAATAACCCAACAAAAAGCCGCAGTAAGAATAATCACTAAATCCCATCCCTGGCAACGACCCCCCCCCCACTCTTCATAGATCTAAATTTAATCCCTGTTCAGAACATCCACACTTACTACTGTGCAATCTATATCTACAGGACCTTAAATTCCAATATTAACCTTGACCTAAAACGCTTTCTTGATAGTTGGGACAGGACCCACAGGCATAACACCAGACACAAACATCTCTATGACATTCCCCGTGTTCGACTAAACCTTTACAAAAATTCAATGTATTTCAAAGGATCTTAAATCTGGAACACCCTACCTGAAAACTCTAGAACTGTAGACACATTCATCACTTTCAAAACTACAGTTAGAAAACATCTCATCTCCCTGATACACCCCAACAACTAACTACATGATAACCACCTGGTGGTTCACAATTACACTCACTCACCCACTGACTATAAACCCAGAAATACTAATCTTAATCTTAAAATAATAAATCCTAACTAGTCATAAGTTTGCCTATGTTACTCAAATATAGACATCTCGTATTGTGCCAAAACAAAAGCATTCACATTGCTAAACTCAAAATTATGATGTAGTCACTCAGCCTTAATACTATAATCTGTAAGGACTTAATGTTAAGAATTAATCTAAGTCTGCTGGAAATGCCTAGCCATGCTAGGTGTCCTAGTGGCCCCCTCTGTAATTAGTATTTTTTAACATGTAAACCACAAAATACCCAAAACCTGTAAACCCCACATTGTAACCATTATAGAGAATAAACTTGTAGAAAAAGAGAGCGAGAAGCAGTTGTAGGTAGGAGAGCTTTGGCACACGGTAGTGCGGGGAGAACAGACACGAACTGTCATAACCTTCCAAGGGAGAAGGGAAAAGGCAGACGCTAAATAAACATACAAGGGAGGCGAGTAAGGGAAAATGGTCAAGAGTAAACAGGAGCGTCAAACAAATAATGGGCTTTTACTATTGTCTGAGACCAACCTATACATAGACGGAACATAAAGGGGCATGAGAGGGGAAACAAAGTAATGAAGGCAATGAGCATCACGACGATCAGTTAAGGAAGGAACATTTGCCTCAACATGGAGGCTTTCAACAGGGTATGAACGATGATGAAGGGAATCTAACTTAGAAAGAGTGGTAGGAGAAACTGCAGATAGACTTGGGTCTCTATAATCCAGTTTTGGACAAGACTAGGGTGGAATGCAAACGGAGGAGAGTTCGGCGATCTGCTCCCCATGAATGATGTGCAAGAATTTAAGGAGATTCAGCTGACCAGGGGCAAGTTCCCTTCAAAGAGGAAATGTAGGTTTCTATGTTAAACCGACGCCCGAATAGTAAGAGAAGACAACTCGACCCTATCACATTCTGGGATACGTGGCCGTGTAAATACAATAGAATATCGGGGATAAGAGGGCGTCTAGTGAAGGAAATGAAATGGGTTTTCGTACTAGAAATTTAAATCCATGAAAAGTGGCCAATGGGAAACCCGGAAAATCCCCATCCTGAAGGGAAGCCGCTACCAGGCGACAGTTAGCTCCTGCATAAGCTATAGTGAAGTCATCCACATAAACTGATGGAAGAACGGAAGGTAGGTCATTTATAGCCAAGAGAAAAAGGGTAGTGCTAAGGACACACCTTATGAGACACCCTCGCCTGAACAAAGTCTGAGGAAAGCGAGGCGATAACCTGGACACGAAATTGTCTGCCAGATAAGAAAGCAACAATGAAAGTTGGCAAGTTACCGCAGAGGCCTAAAGAGTGGGTTTGGGCTAAAATGTTATACCTCCAAGTGGTGTCGTATGTCTTCTCAAGATCAAAAAGGGAAAGTTGAGATAATGGTAGACAGGAAGTCTTGCAAACAAATGCGCTCATCGTGCGCTCATTGTAGTTAACACTGCAGCAAGCCTACTGGCCCATGGTAGGCAGGTCTAGTTAACACTGCAGCAAGCCTATTGGCCCATGGTAGGCAGGTCTAGTTAACACTGCAGCAAGCCTACTGGCCCATGGTAGGCAGGTCTAGTTAACACTGCTGCAAGCCTACTGGCTCATGGTAGGCAGGTCTAGTTAACACTGCAGCAAGCCTACTGGCCCATGGTAGGCAGGTCTAGTTAACACTGCAGCAAGCCTACTGGCCCATGGTAGGCAGGTCTAATTAACACGGCAAGAAACCTACTGGCCCATGGTAGGCAGGTCTAATTAACACGGCAAAAAGCCTTTCTGGCCCATGGTAGGC